AGCCTTCATTACGCCCCACGTTCTCAGGTAATTGGGAATGCGCCGTACATTGATGAATGATTATGGAGGAGTGGGTGCATATTCATTATCGGGCTAAAATGTTCTTACAGACCCATAATGAGCCTCCAGCAGTGGCCCGGGCTCTGGTATTACAGTACCAATGATTCAAGTGCAACCAAAGGGCTCTGCAAGACACCTACGCAGCAATGAGGACCTGTGGTGGGTCAATGATTGCTTGTAAGAAGATGCCTGCAAGAATGTAAGGACAGAAGTGAAATATTAAAAGTGTGTGCACTAGCGCTAGAAGATTTGTTATTAGTCTCTCTGGGCTGAACAGCTGTGGTCAGATCCCTCCTCACTCATTTTCCTTCCCTATATGTCTCACTTCATGTGCCTGGCTGATAATGTCCCATATGTCCTTTGATAAATTTGGTCATTTGAAAATTATAAGGGTGGGGAATGCATGGGCGTCGCAGCAGATCAGAATGACTCCAAAATACCATGACCAATACACCCATGTTCCTCTGCTGCTCAATCAATGGTTCTATGTACACCTGATATTAAGATTATCAAGTTATGAAATCACAAGAAAAAACTAAATACAGCTGGCCATTATTAGGGATTTTCTTTGCAATTTCCGAGGCTATGCCAATGTTCATATTATATGTTGAAGCTAATTACGAGTCCCTTATTGCATCAATAACCAATAACCAAAAACTCTGATCGTTTGTAGTTTAGGCATAAGACTATGGCTTACAAATAATATTAAAAGGCTATAATTACTCATTTTATCCTCAGAAACTTACAAAAACAAAGGAAAAATATTACTTAATGTTCATTCTGCATTAATTTGGGGATTCTATATTTCTGATTATAAGTTGTACACTACCAATTAAATGTTTAAGGTGATTTGTTTTTATGTTTTTGAAAGAAGTATCTTATGAATGCAGTAAAAGCAGGAATATTGTGAAATATTATTACAATTTAAAATAACTCTTTTTGAATATATTTTAAAATGTATTTCTGTGATGCAAAGCTGAATTTTCAGCAGTCATTAATTCAGTCTTCAGTGTCACATGATCCTTCAGAAATTCTGATTGACCAATTTGCTCAATTTTTATTTATTTATTTTTTATTATCAATGTTGAAATCAGTTGTGCAGTCTATAAATATTTTTTTTGTGTGTGTATACATATATATATGTATGTAAGTTCAAAAGAACAGCATTTATTAGAATTTTTTTTTGTGACACAGTGTCACTTTTGATTAATTTAATGCACCCCTGCTTAATAAAATCAATTTGTTTATACTTTTGAATGTTAGTGCCTGTTAGAAGTGATTAATTGCACAAAACTGTGCACTATATTCATCAATTTGCAAATAAATTTGTATTGTATTAACTTCATTTCAGATGTGAATGCTTCACATGATCTGTCATGATGCAGGTTGACATCAGAATTACTGAAGTGCATGTATATGAATCAACATTTTGGATCCCTTTTATACCAGTATTTAGTGTCATCCTACCTTGTTTCAATCCAAAAACAGATGTTAATATCAGGTATAAACAGGGCAAATATCTACATCAGCAAATATCCACCAGTACATCTGTCTCAAGACATCTGGACCTCATGTAGAAACACGTGGCCTCACCAGCAGGAAAAACAAAAACTCACCATCTCTCTCCATTACCTCCACTACAAAATAAATGGAAAATTAATTATGTTGACTGCATCTCCAGCAAAACATCCAGTATGTCATTTATTACACAGCCGCACAATGTAGCGCTGCAGCCGGGACACTTGCAATGAGAGAGAGAGAGAAAACATGACAAATGCGAAAGGAACCATATGCAAATGAGTGAATCTTAATTAAGGCAGCCAAATTATTGAATGCATGAATAATCTATCTGGGTCTGACACAGCCGGGCCTCATGTTTCGCACCTCACCTGACGGCACAATCACACTCAACACTTGTTTCCCTGCTCACATAATTGATTTCACATTCATAAAAACATCCAATAAAATAATTGTTGTTCTGTTGAGTTCGTTATTAACCTTTGTGCAATGTGCATCCCACCTCTGCATCCTCTTTATGCACAACATGCCCCTTCATCTGCCCTCTTTTTTCAACTCCCCATTTGCCACTCTCTTTCAGAGCAGACTCTCAAACTCTGTTCCAAAACCTAGTTAGCTGCCTACTGCCTAGCTAGGCATCCTAACTCATTGTCATATTGTTTTGAAGCACTCTTCATCAGCAGCAACTCTATACACCACACAAATAGCTTGACTTAGTGTTAGCATGTAAACAGTATAAAATGCAAAAAAGCACAAAAATATAAATAATAGTAATAATTTTTATATTAAATTATAGCTACTGCTCAAAGGTTTGGGGTCAGCAAATACTTTTTTTAAACGTTAATGCGTTTAAAACGTTAATGTTTAAATAAGTAGGGGTGCAATCAATTGATCAAAAGTGACTGTAAAGACATAATATTACACACACAAAAAACTTGAACTTTATATTCATCAAATAATCCTGAAAAAAATGTATCAAGGTTTCCACAAAAAACGTTAAGCAGATCAAACATTTTTAACATTGATAATAATAAGAGATGTCTCTTGAGCACCAAGCATATTAAGCATATCATATTGGAATGATTTCTGAAGGATCGTGTAACACTGGCTACTAAAAATGAATCTTTACATGAATAAGTTATATTTTAAAACATATACAAATGGAAAACAGTTATTTTAAATTGTAATAATATTTTACAATAATACAGTTTTACCAAATAAATGCAGCCTTTATGAGCATAAGCCATCTTTGGTTAGGTTGTGAGCTTGCCGCAAAGCATTCTGGGAGTGCATTCTCTGTGAATTGTACAAATGATGCTACATACAAATATTTCTGGTTAAAATTAGGTGTCCTAAGACGTCAAATAATTAAGTTGCCTATTGGCACAGCTTTTGCATCGATGACGCCTTAAAAATGCCACCTCTATAGGCATCTCAATAGGTTTTGGAACAAAGTATTTTTCCCTTGCATCTCCAAGCAGCTCAAGTCTTTCCCCCCACGAGGATCTGCAGAGAAAATAACTCTCTCTCGCTTGCCATCTTTCAATCTCCCCGCCAGCGCAGTTTGACTGCATTTGGCAGAGAGTTCGAACCGAGTAAACCTGATGTGACGTTAACCGCAATTTACAGATACGCTCAACCTCTCCCATGACCCCTCAATTAAATTCAGCATAAAGCTAGGCAACAGCTATCTTGTCTTTGAGAACTTGGCTGACAGCAGGAGCCACTAAGGAAGCGTCGTACCACTCTGATCACAGTCCTTATTGATGCAACGCAGAGGACTTCAGCTTGTTTTTGGGTTAATTCTCAAAGAGTTTAGAGTAAATTTGAAAGAAAGCTGTGCTGTTGTGACTTTGAAGATGTATGCTCTGGGAGATCTTCAGAAAAGCCAATCGAGGTCTTTGAGTTCTAGGCCATCGCAGTTCAACAGAAATCTCACAAAATGCCCAGAGCGATATGACGGGTGTTTCATTTGGACAGTGAGAGCAGAATGAAGCCGAATCGGTCAGTGGGGAGCAGATGATGCAAAGCACCAGAATTTGTAACTGCGGTGCAATCTCAGCCACATCAAGGACAAACCCAGCAGAAAGATGGCCCCATGGTGATACGAGTTTGAGTCTGTAGAAATCTACAGTTAGAGACTGATGGGTATGAAGGGAGTGTGTTGAAAGGTCTTGATGAAGCCACAGTGGATTTGAACCACACTTATCTCAGTGTGAGTAAAGGATGCAGCAGATGTATCAGTTGCATTCTCTAGTGATGATACATTAAATGCACAGTTATCTCCACTGAAAAACTCTGGAGAGGTCAAACGCAGAGATTTTGGGAGAATATAAATAAGTTTGGGTCATCTTGCCCTCATACATGGTATATAACTAGAGCTGTCATTTGATCAAAAATGTGTTAGAATTAATTATCACTGTTATTATTTACTGAGAAAAGCCACCCAGTTAAAGATATTATATTAGTGTGGTAGATTTAAAGTTAAATCACATTAAATTCAATGAATTTGGCATCTGTATAGCAGCAGAATTGAAATGTTTTCAATAGATACAGAGAGAATATAATAGAGTTGCACGATTTAAGGAAAAAAATCTAATTCCAAATTTTCGGATAAAAATGGCAATTTAAGCCCCAGGTGCTGTGTGTGTACGGCTGCAAAATTCAACCAAAAACATGTAATTATATATATCAATATAATACTACCAATAATATTACTAAATATATTATTACTTTAAATAAGAAATATTACCATTGTAATATTTCACTATAAAAAATAAGTATTAAAAAACATTTTACAGAACAACTGTAAAATTACAAGACTAATATTTATGGCTGTCCTAATTTCTTAATTTTCAAACATTACATCAAGCTTTTATTTTGGCAGAAACTGCAGGGAGCCCTTAAAGCTTCTCTTTTAGTTGACAAAAGCCAGTTTATAAGTGCTTTTTATTATAATATTTCATTAACTAAAGGAAAATGTTTGGCGCATGTTGCATTTTAAAATCCATGTTATAAGTGACCCAAAATCAGAGCATATGCGTTTGCGTGGAGCAGGATTTACTGTGAATTGAGCCACTCTGAGATACTGAAAACAGATGAGCTGCTTGCATGTAAATTAACACAGTGTCATGCTTCACTCTGAAACATGCAGCATATACTGTATATATATATATATATATATTTTTTTTTTAAATTAAATTGCAACCTTTGTGATTTGATAATTGCTCTAAGCTTTTGTTTTGATTAATCATGCAGCCTTACAATATAATGCAATTTATTTCCCCATGATATAAGATGGTCATCATAGAGGAAAAGAAATCAAAGTCCTGGCTGACAGATCCAGAACTCTCTCAAAACTGTGAGTACTATATAAGGTTTCTGTGGTATAATGTGTGAACATGTCATTCACTTTGACGTACACTTGGATGTCTAGCATGATCCTCTTGTCTTCTTCAACATGGATCCCCCAGATGCAGTCCTGACCCTTATCATAGGCCTCAGGCCAGTTTGGAGACAACACCACCCCAGCTGAATCTGTGATCTCTCCACTGCAAACCGCTGCAATGCAACCAAAGAGAGAGAAAAAAAGAGGTCAGAAAGAAATGCAAACAAGCACAAATGTATCCAAAATGTTTTTTTTTTCTGTTAAAAAAGACCTTTATGAACAAAATATGAACAAAAGTCTTCACAAAATACAATAAAAATAAATAAATGAATACATAACTGAATAAACAAAAATAAACAAAAATAAATAAATGAATAAACAAATAAAGTTAATGGTATCAGTGTTACTTTAGTTATTAAACAGTATGTAATTTTATTAATTTTTTTTATTTTATTATATTTTTATTGTAAGTTTCAGTGATTATTTTTATGCCTTTGTCATTTTTATAAATTTTTGTATTTTATATTTCTAATTAGATATTTATTTTTATTTCAGATTTAGGATTTTTAATACTTCAACCTAATTTTTTTACTCAGTTGTGAAGGCAGCATTTCTATTTATATTTATATATATAAAAAAAACACAAAACAAAACAAAAAAAACCAAAACAACTATTATCCAAGATGAAACAAGAAGCAAGATGAAGTTCTGGCATTTTGTATCCCAATTTGTTGCATAGGTGACCCTGGATTAATACAACTGGGGTATAAGTGGAAAATTCCGACTGGATTAATAAACAACTTGAGGCTTCCTGTTTTCATTTTTCCCTTTTTCACACCACTACACTGGCTTAGCTGGTTGTAAGCACATTTTCAAATGGAAAAGCTGTTGTCTCTGCTGGTGCCAGTACGATTAAATCCTTTCAATCCAAACTCTATTGTGAGGCTAGAGAAATGTACTTGAGCAACGGGTCAGATAAGATGCCACTGTGTGTAGGTGGGGGTGGAATCTGGGCTTTATGAGTAAGGTATTCTCTCACATACCTCGGCTCTGTGCACCTGTTACTAGCCTGTTTGGCTTAATTCTTTTAGGGCTGCTTTAGGCGCGTGACTGTGGCTAAGAGTGTCTGAAACCCATCCAGGTGACACAGGATGTAGTGGATTACATAAAAAAGGCACTAAAAGGATGTGAGGGATTTGTACTGTACCTGTACATGCTGCCTGTAGAGCTCTTCAGCATCTAACTAAGGCACATTATACACAGAAACACACAAATGTATAACACATATACCCTCACGTGTGAACAGAGGAGAGAATTCAAGAGTCAAATGTGTTATTTATTTGCACATGCACATCGCATGTTGTGTTATTTTAGCACCTGTTGGAACAGCAGCTACGCAAATTTTTCTCTATTTTCTTAGGGATTGGCATCCTGTGGTAACTAGGAATTACACAAGCTTCAGTCTGGATCCAGCCCTTACAAAGACCTGAGATGACCGAAGGAGATGATGCCAACCCCTCAGAAGACCTCAGATGATGCAAACCCTCAGACAACATACAAAACAACCAAATTTGGCTATAAGAATGATCGCAACATATAATCATTGCTGTTAACAGTGTTCACCGTCTGTTTGATTACATGACATTCACTAATTGCTTGATTTTTACCGTACATTTCTGCCATATGGACATCAACTTGAGATAGTCACCACTGATAAGCTATTACTAAATATAATGTAGAAACTTTACTTTTCTGTAAAGCTGCTTTGCAACGATTTGCATCATGAAAAGCACTATACAAATAAACTTGAATTGAATTTGTCATGATTTTCTATCAACTTTTGATGAACAACTGCAGCCATGAACAAGAGAAAAACAAAAAAATCTGAATAAATATTACATTTTTTACTTTATTTATATATTTAAATATTAAAATACTATTATATTAATATTAATATAAACATATTTCATATAAATATAATTAAAAAATTTTTTTATAAAATAAAAATTCTGCAATGCAAATAGCACTTACTTTTATGAATAAGGTGCATTTGATATTAAGAATATGTACATCTAAATAAAAATATGATTACTGAAATAAAAAGAAAGTCGTCATGAAATTAAAAATCACTTTATATATTTTCTAAAAATAAGTTACTGATTTAATTGTGTAAATTATTTATTTATTTATATAAAAATGTTTTACCCCGTAATTTAATTTTGATGTTCCAGCAAAACGACAGAATTCTTTCTGGCACGTTACAAAGCAGATGAAAAGATCTGTCGCTACTTCCATTTCATCACAATTTAAATAAAATAAAGTGTGATGATATTTGCTAGTACTTTTAGTGCCCAAAAAAACTGATTTGGAGGTGCTTATTAAATAAAATGCTCATTTTATGCTAAAATGTGACCCTGGACCACAAAAGTCATAAGGGTCAGTTTTTTGAAAGAAAATAAATAAGTTTTCCATTAATGTATAGTGTGTTAGGAGAGGACAATATTTGGCTAAGATACAACTATTTGAAAATCTGGAATCTGAGGGTGCAAAACAATCAAAATTAAATCGTCTTTAAAGTTGTCCAAATGAAGTCCTTAGCATTGCATATTACTAATCAAAAATTAAGTTTCAATATATTAAATACAGTAGGAAATTTACAAAATATCTTAACGGAACATGATCTTTACTTAATATCCTAATGATTTTTGGCATAAAAGAAAAATCAATAACTTTGACCCATACAATGTATTGTTAGCTATTGCTACAAATATACCTGTGCTACTTATGACTGGTTTTGTGGTCCAGGGTCACATACATGGTTATATTTTAGTACATTTTCTATCAAAATTTGATACAACTGCAGCCATGAACAAGAAAAAAACCCTCAATAATTAATACAATAATATTAATATTAACATACGCAAACATTCACACGCACCTCTGCAGGCAGGCTCAGTCTCATTCCATTGAGGGTTGCTGGGATCCATGCACTCGATGATAACAGAGCCCTGCTCCAGGGTGTATCCGGGGTCACAGGTGAACTCCACGACCGTGCCCACAGCGTAGGTGCTGTCAGTGGTGGTGAAGTTGCCGTACTTGACGAATGGCTCGTAGCAGTGACCTGCTGCAAAAGCTGAGAGGACACACCATAAATCACCTGCGCCAAGACGCACATCACACTCCAAACACTATCACCAAGCATCTGATTTCAGAAGAGCTTAACACACACAGACAACCAGTCTGCTCGGCTCAGCCTTTAACCGCTTAACAAAATAATTTAGTCCAAAAGGACAGCGCAGAATCCGAATTTGAAAGTGTTTTTAGAAGACAGTCTAAAATAATTTGTCTGCTAAAGCAATGTGCAGCATTTTACTTTCCCACCAATCATAATCTTCCTGGACGCAAACCCAAGGTTTCTGGTTGCCCTTGGAAAGAGATTGTTAGTTAATCATCCTTAGCCAGACTTGCAAGGCTACTTACGGGTGTAAAAGGAAGAGAGACGGCCCGACAACGTGAATAAATGTGAAACGTGAATGAACAAACTCACTCAGGGAAACAACAAACCGTCACGCCTGGCTGAACCGTTATTGGTTGTTGTGCTCATCTGAGAATGTAGAATAGAGATTAGAGCGAGAGGAGGAGACTTAAGATGAGGATGTTCAGACGATGGAGAAACAGTGGCTTTTATATCCCTCCGGGTCCGGCCTCATTCAAGCGTGAGCTAGATTAGACTACCCACATTCAGCTTTACGTTCAGCCTCGCTCTCTGTTTAATAAACACAGGCGATTCTGCCAATTACAGCAAACTGTTTTTACCCCCTTCCCCAGACACATTTGCAATATTCATCTTTGGCTTCATCTGACTCCGTTCTCTAAAAGAAGTAGAAATTGGTCATTTTAATAATCAGGTGATTCTTGCTCTCTTATAAGCATAGAAACAATCATTATATAAGATGGTATCAACATAAAAGTCAAATTTATATGGAAATAAGAGTAATTTGTTCCAGACAGTGCATAATTTATGTGCATTTTATGTTATTGTTATGAGTGAAGTCCCAATAGGAAAAAAAACAAAGATGAAATCTCTTTAATGTCTCAGTTATTTCTCCCAAGCAGCAATTAGATTAAATGGTAAGAAAGATTTTCCTCCCAAGAAAAGAGAGTTTTCAAAGAGATCTCCAGCAATATCTCAAACTTTTGTTCAATGTTCAAAGACACAAAAGTTATGTATCGAAATATGAAGTCAAACATTTCTCATTAAAATCCCTTCAAAACTAAATTACAATAGGGACACTTCTAAAACAAAGAAAACAGAATTCACAGGTACTATGTTTTACCTCATCATGATGGTATGCTATCCAAACATTACAGTTTTGTACTTTTACTATATGTCAGAAAATGTCTAATTTTAGGACAAAGTTGATTCTTAAATGAAACGTAAAGCAGAACTCCATTAAGTCTATAGATGAATGAATATGAAGGTATGAATACACTTTTATAACTTTTAATCAGCTAGGATACATTAAATTGACCAAAAGTGACAGTAAAAATGTATGTCACAAAATATTTCTATTTCAAATAAATGCTGTTTTTATGAACTTTCTATTCATCAAAGAAATACTGAAAATTGTACCGCATATCACATATAAGAATGTTTTCTGAAAGATCATGTGACACTGAAGACTAGAGTAAAATTCAGCTTTGCATCACAGGAATAAATTACACTTTAAAATATCTTAAAATAGAAACATTTATTTAAAATTGTATAATTTCACATTATTGCAGTTTTTACTGTATTTTGATTAAATAAATACAGCATTTGTGATCAAAATAATAATAATAATAATAATAATTATATATATATATATATAACATTTGATCAGTAGCATTTAAGGTATGAAAGAAAAACTTTAGCTATTAAAGTTTCTCTGAGCCAAACTGACTGTCATAGAAAACATGGTGATTACACTAAAAGAGAAATTAATCTCTAAAAATTATGGTAATGCTCTGAAAATCATTTATTTCAGCAAATATGTACAAATAAAACTATTCTGTTCAACTGCAATTACTACATAGATTTACATGATTATGGTTTAAAAGGCCTTCAGAGGACTGAGTATTCCGCGTGTGGCCTCTCAACAACCACAGAGTTCCAGATCAATGCTTTTGCTAGTCTACTGAAATGGATAAAAACAGATTCATTTTGTTTATGATGGCAGATGAAGGGGAATGGCACTTCAATCAGAAAGACTATTAAAACCTGAGCAGCCTGGCTGGTGTGAAATTCAGAGAGGCGTCTGGAGCGTGAGAAGACAAGCAGAATTGTTACAGGTTGCCGTGAAGGCACATTAGTATATTGTAGATAGCATAATCGGATTGTGGCATGGTAAATGAGATTAGATTGATCTCGCCGGATAATGACTGTGAGGTCCTGAGGTATACCTGACATCCCTGTGAACAAATGCAACTGCACATGTTCGACTGACCTGTCAGAGGGAATAGGAATGCAATTTCTTTTCTTTTTTTTTTTTTAAAAAGGCTCTGTGTTTCCAGTTAAAACTCATTTTAATGACCTTGTCGGGTTGCATTTGCCCGCTTCATTCGATTTCCATTTGATTTAATCTGAATAAATCTCATTTGAGCCAGGAATCTAAAGAGTGTTAAGCAAGGCACATGGGAGAACAGATCTTTGGTGTGAATCGAAGCAACAAGGGGAATGTGCCGGAAGGTACACTCTTTGTCTCCATCACAGCCCTCAGGCTGTAGAGGACACGTGTTCTTCAAACGACGTTTGAAATTGGTAACCATCGCCATGTACGGCCGGCTCAGAGACAAACCAGCAGAGGATGGATTAGAAAAGATGCTGGCTGCTATCAAGTCCTCATTATTGTTAAGCTGGAATTCAACTATTTTCTCAATCACTTTGAAAAATACCTTTTGAACATGCTGTGCATGTATAGGCTTTAAAGGGTTAGTTCACCCAAAAATGAACATTTTGTCATTAATTACTCACTCTCTGAAAGATCTTCGTTCATCTTTGGAACACAAATTAAGATATTTTTGATGAAATTCGAGAGCTTTCTGACCCTGCATAGACAGCAATGCAACTAACACGTTCAAGGCCCAGAAAGGTAGTAAGGACATTGTTAAAATAGTCCATGTGACATCAGTGGTTCAACCGTAATTTTAAGAAGAATTTTATTTCTTCTCTTCCATGTCAAGACTTCAAAGACTGACACAGAAGAGAAGTAATTGTTGAATAAAGTCGTTATTTTTGTTTTCTTTGCACACAAAAATTATTCACGTAGCTTCTTAACGTTACAGTTGAACCGTTGATGTCACATGGACTATTTTAGATATGTCCTACCTTTCTGGGCCTTGAACATGGTAGTTGCATTGCTGTCTATGCATGGTCAGAAAGCTCTCGGATTTCATCAAAAATATCTTAATTTGTGTTCCGAATTAAGGGGAATAAAGGTTTTACGGGTTTGGAATGACATGAGGATGAGTAATTAATGACAGAATAAAAAATTTTGGGTGAACTATCCCTTTAACTCTTACGAACATGTGTGTGTTTTTGTCTCAAGTCTTACGAACTGGTCAGTGGAGGAGATATATTTGCTAAATAGTTCCTAAAAAAGCTCTTCTGAAATACATGGCTTTCTGTTTGGGTTTGTCATCATGGCAAAAATGGCACTTATGACCGAGAATTGTTTTGTTTGAATACTTGTAATGTAGATGTAAATGAATATATCAATGTGACTGCAACATTTAGGGTTCATAAAAACAGAAACGCATTGGATTGTATTCATTCTGACTGCTGAAAATTAGTTGTAAATTCTTTGTTGGTCCATACCTTCATATCTGATGGCTACTCCCGTGTTGGTGCCGAAACCATCCGTCGTAAACTCCACAAAGAGATGTCTGGCGGAACTAACGATTCCCTCGTTAGGAAGGTATTCCACCTCGTACGAGTCGTACAAAATCGGCGAATCAATGTGGTTGCCGTTTTTAATCAGAAACCTGCAGACATAAGGGTTTTCGTTCGGTTCAAAACAAGGAATCTCTCAACAGTATCTGTTTGACAGCAGATGTAACGTTCCCCCGATTTCTAGTACTGTCTTTTGGCAGTTTGCATAATAATTGCCTGATATGATTTTGAATAGCTGAGCAGCAAGTGACCTCATTAAAAGTCCATTTGTTAGCAAAGCCTGCAGAAAAAGCGGATACCGCTAATAAAAATAACTTAATCCTCCTCCTGAGGCCCTGGAGTGGGCTCTAATCGCTCTCTCTGCGCCTTCACCAGGGGATTTGATTATTCTAAATTATTTTAAAGGAGAGCAAGTGTCTGATCTCAGAAACTTTCATCCACTTTCACTCACGCTCTCACAGCTGTTCCTATCATGCCTCGCTCTCGCAGTAGCAGATAATGCCCTGAAGAGCAGCGCCACATTTGGAGTGTGAGTGCACTGTGAAGAGACACTCGGAGCTTCTCCAACTGTCTCTTTGAATATCAGATGACTAATGAGTGTATAATAGCGAGCACTGAGTGAGTTGACTGGGACGGACCTGTCATCGTCTTCCGCGAGGGCCACCTTCTCGAAGTGCACGTGCAGCCGTTGACCCTCAGGGGCCTCCAGCACCCAGTGGCAGGTCAGGTTGTTGCTGTAGTTGCCAGGGAAACCAGGAGACACAATGCGGCCGAGAGTCGCATTTTTCACCATTCCACCGCAGGCCACTGTTCAATGTACAAATGGAAGAAGACAGATAACATTGAGAAGAAAAAACGCGCTAGAGGTCGAGGAAGCCATAAGAGCGAACTTTGAGCTGTGGATAACAAAGCTTTTTCATAGTGCATGACTGTAATGACTAGACCTCAACAATGTAGCAATAATAGTAAGATGGCATAATATGTGAGGGCACAATGTTTTTACACATCAAAGAGACTTTCAGACAATCCCTTTATACAAAAATGCCTGCTTACCTTCTGTATAGAAGGTGAAAGCCAGTATATTAAATGAGTAGCATTTCTGAATTCAAAGTATTTATAAAACAGTAGGTGAAAAATATCCGGATGACCTACTACATTGATGGCATGTTAGATATTTTCCATCCTAAAAGGCCATGGGAGAACAGTTCAGAATGACAGTAAAACAACAAAAGTGATACTATAAGTCTCATGACAATGACAACATGACGGATGTCATATGTTGGTTTTTATTCATACTACACAAGTTATTACTACACTGTAAAATTATGTTTTGAAGTTGTAAATAAAACAAAGATTATTGGAGTTTGTTTTATAGCAAAATACTATTTCTGTTTTTCTACTTAACAAATTTCACATTTAGTTTATTATTATTTTTCAGTGTAGAACATATATTTTTTAACAGCTGCAAAATTTGTTCTTCATCAGTATGCGATTTCAGACATACCTAGTGTTAAGGAGTATGAAAAATCTAAAAAGATCTTAAAAGACTTTCAAAAATGCACTTTGCATTCATGTTGGTTTCATATAGTTCGAAAAACATTTATAACATTTTCAACAAGTAAAAATGTAATATATTAAGTAAAAAGTAATAACATATTTTCCTTACACCTTGAATGTTTTTAGTGTATTTCATTATAAATAATTATTAAGTTTGATTAAGTTTCAATTTTGCTTTTTAAATTTTATGACAAAATATAAATATAAAAAATTAATATATTTATAAAATAATACAATATACCAATGTTATATTTTTCAAAATAAGAGGTATTTTACAATAATACAAATATTGAGAATTATTCATTTAAAAATATACATTTTACACCTTGAACTAACCTTGCTTTGTCATTTTAAGAGACTTACTGACCTTGAGGGTCTTACAGTCTGCAGGGGTCCTCTATACGTATATAATTTCCTGTTTTATATATTTTTTCTGCATGTTCATCATACCACAAATCTTACTAAAAAAAAAAAAAAAAAAAATAATAAAGCAGGAAAGCAGAATGAATGAATTAATATTATTATTTTTAAAGAGTTTCAGGTGTTTTTTTCACTGTGATATCAGGATAGTTGTGTCACCCTAAAACCCAAATACATTTTAATTCAGAAATTAAAAACATGCCCATCATAAAATAGGTGCATCTGATTAATATTGTGTATGAATTGCCTTGTCAGTGTATTTTTGAATAAATTAATAGATGCAGACAAAAATGGCCACGTTATTGACTCAAGAACCTTTAGACCACAACGATTTAAACAGAGAAAGACAGCAATAATAAACTGTTTTTCTTAAAGGCAATGAAAAGAGAGAGAGCTTGGAGGAGGAGGATACCTTCTGAGCTTGACGGCTGAAGGTTAGTCAGGCGGACAGAACATAATTAAAGTAGACCCAAAGCCCTGCTCCCTGGCAGCCTGCCCATGCTGATCAGTAATCAGACTCTGACAGTCTGGCCCAGCCCTGCATCAGCATGGCAGGGGCACACTTCTAAAACGGCACATTTATGCTATTTCACTCTGAATCAATGGCGAGATTGAAAAACCCCAAGTCCTGTAGTCCGTGCCTGGCAGCTGCAGGCTAACTAAACCTCCTCACGATGCATGCTACAGCCGTGCCTTCATCAAAACAGCCCTCCTTCAGGGAGTCCAGCCTTGTTTGCAATAGGAGATGTTGTTCTGTTTGTCATGCAAGAGTGAAGAGTTCCCCAGCTCTGGGATTTAGCTCTCTGAAGAGATCGAGGCGCAAAAAGTCCTTATTTATGCAGAAGAGGCCGGCCTGTCAATCACGCTGTCACACCGGACTGCCTTGAGGGGGTACGGTTGTTAATATTCACTGCCTTGTAGCACAAACACTTCTGTTACCACCATACCAGCCAAAATCAATGATCAAGCTACAATTAACTTAAAAGGAGGAGGGAGCAACCGCACCAGGAGTTTCTCCCCTGTCAAGTTAAATCACACCTGTGTGAACTAAATATTTACACAGGCATGAGGTTTGTTTTTGAGCCCAAAGTAGAGGGGCTGTGTTTAAACACGATGACTTGTGGGTGTATGTTTATCGGAGAAAAAAAACAAGGATAATTGCTAGTGAGCGAGTCCAGGGCGGCTTCACAATGATGCAAATCAGCAAGTGTGAGGAGGCTGTGTTTATGATTGGCAGGCAAAACCAAACATTTTCTGCACCTTGCGTCTATATGCAAATGAAATAAAGTTAATTAAAAGCAGAAGCTAATATTTCATAGATTTTTCTGTACTTGTTAAGATAGCAGTAGTGCTTACTAGTGCTCCTGCTTCATAATTGAATTTCTCAGGGGCAGAGATCAAATACTGCAGATTTGGTAATTAACTGTCATTTAGCTGATGCTTTTGTTATAGTGCGCTCAATACAGGGACAATCCCTTTGGAGTAACCTGCAATTAAGAGTCTAGCTGGTGAAAGGGCACATGTGACATGTTAGTTAGTCTCTATTTCAAGTTTACCGCCACCTGGATGCAACCTGAACTTTTTATATTAGCAGCCCCGATCCATTACTATCAGGCTAAAGGAATCAATCGGGTTCAATACAAGTGAAGCTCAATGGATTGCATTTGGAGAATAATGTTAATTAACATAGAAAATAATTTCAATGACTCCAAAATGTTGGTTAGAATAAGGCACCTAATGGAGTTAAATGAAGTTTAAAGGCAGAAATGGGAGGATGTTTTTTGTTAAAGCACTTTAATTCTTCACATTAAATCTTTTAGAAAACACATACAATTTTGAGCTGCAAAGTTCTCTAAATTGTAATTTTGCAACTACTGGTCTAGCAATTTGTCACTAGCGTAATCCGGGTGCCTGGTAAAAACATAGTAGACGTGTTTTGATTAGTCTGTTTACGTGGCAGGTTTTCATGTTAAACGTATGCCGACCACAGGAAGGAGTCAAATTTATGTTCTTCTGCTGATTCAAGATGCTCCACGTAAACCAATAAGTTGTCACTTCCTTTCTTTGTATCTTTGCACAAACACTGTGCAAAAACTAGCAGGGATTAGAGGTTTTTTATGGCAACAATTGGATATAACTATAAGTATACTTACTCAAAAGCTCAAGGCTCAATATTTAAAGGGTTAGTTCATTAATAACTCACCCTCATGTCGTTTCAAACCCATAAGACCTTTTGTTCATTATCGGAAAACAAATTAAGATATTTTTGATGAAATCCGAGAGCTTTCTGACCCTGTATAGACAGCAACACAACTGACACGTTCAAGGTCCAGAAAGGTAGTAAGGACATTGTTAAAATAGTCCATGTGATATCAGTGGTTCAACCTTAATTTTTATGCATTAAGTCATTATTTTTGTTTTCTTTGCACAAAAAACGTATTCTCGTAGCTTCATAAAATTACGGTTGAACCACTGATGTCACATGGACTATTTTAATGATGTACTTACTACCTTTCTGGGCCTTGAAAGTGTTAGTTGTGTTGCTATGCATTGCTACCCAGCTATGCAGGGTCAGAAAGCTCTCGGATTTCATCAAAAATATCTTAATTTGTGTTCCGAAGATGAATGAAGGTTTTAAGGGTTTGGAACAACATGAGGGTGAGTAATTAATGACAGAATTTTCATTTTGGGGTGAACTATCCTATGTAAGTGACTAATATGTATTGTGGCAATGAACAGTGATTTGCACGGTTTATTGTCTGGTGCTGTTTACTTCTAGTAAGTGCCTTAATATAAACATTTTTTTTGGATTGAATAAAAAAATAAAAAAATAATAAAAATAAAAATAAAATAAAATGTGCCTTTGGTAAAAAATTTTAGGGTTTTTGAATGACTGCATGAATATATTGAAAATATCTTGGGACTCACCAAGACAGCGCGGCACTTTGCCGCTCCAGTAGGGTGTGGTGGCATTGCGGCATGTGAGGGTGGAGGGACCCTGGAGTTGGAATCCATTGAAGCAGTAGAAATAGGCCTCTCCCCCTGCATGCAGGCTGGTGACAGACACGTCCCCATATGCTGGTCTATCAGGGAAGTTGCAACTCAACACAAATGCTGTAATAGAGCGAAAACAAATAACTGATTAGGCAAATGATTAAAACTGCAGCACGCCACACCACACTTATTTAAACGAGCATCTGAAGCTGCTCTAAAACTATCATTAGACTGAGACTAAGGTCTGTGGGGGAGTATGAATATTGCATTACAGTGACTCCCACTTATTTCAAGAAGACATATTATCTTAACAAACTCCATCTGTCTTTCTTTCTCTCAGTTTAATATGGTCTCAGAGGGTCTGTCCCCAATGCATGTTCTCTCTCCATGTCCTCCAGACCGCAGCCAACCTTTTCTGTGAGAAAGGGACACCTCGAAGATGACAAATAAACCCGAACCCTGAACACTGTCTGTTTTCACAGCCAGAATGGGCCTGCTGGGATGCGTGGAGACAATCATTAGCTGCCTAAGATGATAGATTAGACTCACATTTGGTCTAATGGTCGCAATAGAGCAAAACCTTCTCTACCTCTGAGACTAGCGCAGATTCTTCATCATTTTTAACGGGACACTCTTTCCATTTTGACTTTTACACAAAGTCTGGTCCACATTACAACTTATTCTGGCCCACTTAGACAAGCTGTCTGAATTAGACCATCTAATGACATACAAAAGGACCAATGACAATTCAATGACATGTTTCATTTTGTTTCTACGTGTCATTTTTTTTTTTTTTTTAAATAAATGATGCTCCAATAATAAGTCTACATTAATAATCTTAGTTAAAAGTCAGGTCCAAATACCCCCCCCCCCAAATGGCCTCTTACATAAGCTTTGGTCTTCTGGATAGGGCTATGAAGTGAGGCTTTATTGACCATTGTCTTGCCTGGCTCTCGGCACTAAACCAGACTGTCAATACTTTCTCAAGCAATGTCCACAAAAGCCTTTTCACCATTTATCACTGCTGGCTTGCGAGTCAATTTTCACCCTTTCAAAACGCCTGAAGAAGGTCTTGGACCGAAGCACTGCTATTTAATAAACATTTGCAAGCTACAACAATTTCCTATTTTACCTTCTTCCTATGAAAATCAACAAGCCCTGATGCAGTGAATACTAAAGACATAAAAGACAGATATTTTTTCTTTGAAATGAAAGAGGTCAAAATTCAAGGCCAGTGTGAATTCAATTGCGATTTGTCATGTACAGAACGATGTCTGCATACGAAGGAGGCTTTGATAAGCAAGTGACCATCTTTTCCTTCATCACAGAAGCTCCGCACAGTCTCCGCAGGAGTCCTCGCAAGGCGATAAATCCAGGTTAGACCGCAAGTGCCCATCGAGCTAAAAACTGCTTTCCTAACACCATTTTTTCATCTCCTCCTACCCATCCTCTTTGCAGAATATTTTTGCAATTTATGACAGAAATTTCAGGGCTCATTTCTCCCTGTCTCGATGTGGCTGCGGCAGGTGTATTGTTAGCTGTTGAAATTCAGAGCAGTGTGTGGGTGTTGATTTTGTCACCAATGACAAGACTGAGCCCGAGGCCAGAAAATTTGCACAGGGGCGATAAATTATAACCTTTGACCTGGCTTGGATCCATGTCATATCTGCTCTCAAATTCTTTAGCTGACTGTAACAGGCCGAGCATAAATTACAGTATTTCCAGCACTAAGGGGAGAATTCATTAAACAACTGCACTAACCAATATCTGGTTTAGTTTGACTAGTTTTAGTAAAAAAACTAAAAAAAAAAACTAAAATAAAATGATTTCATCAAACATTATCTGAGCCTGTTTCCACCATGAAAATACAATAAAAAAAGAATAATAATAAAATTAAATAAAAAAATTTAATAAATAAAAAAATGAAATTAAATTAAATAAGGTTATTGTGACTTTTTTCATCTCACAAGTTTGACTTTTTTTTCCTCAGAATTCTGAGAAAAAAAAGTCAGAATTGTGAGATATAAACTCAAAATTCTGACTTTCTCACAATTCTGAGTTTATATCTCAAAATATAGACCTTTATTAGAATTTCAAGTTGTGAACTCAAAATTGTGAGATAAAATCTGCCATTTATATCTTGCCATTGTGAGAAAAAAAATCTAAATTTTGAGACATAAACACTGAATTGTGAGAAAACAAGTCTGAAATATGAGAGTAAAAGCTGCAATTAACTTTTTATCCTGTAGCAGAAACAAGCTTTCATTACATATAGATATGAAATACAAATATAAATAACATATTTAATAAAATGAATAATGGTTTTTAATAAAAAAAATTATTTAAATGTGCATAAATTTTGCATATCTAGAAAATAACAAACAGCCAAAAAATATCTGTGATGAACAATTTTCAAGCAGCAGACTATAGTACGGTAGCCGAGAAGTGCAAAGCAAATCACAATTCTGAAAACAAAATAACAATTCAGAAAGCACAACGACAAATCCGAAAACAAATTAACAAGTCAGAAAACACAACGACAAATCAGACAAACCGGAAAAGGTAGGTATAGTTTGAGACAGCGCCATTGGTTTGGGATTACTCACTGCTGACTGGACGAGACATCTGTAAATCAAAAAATACGGAGTGTCTATTTAGATTTAGTTAAAAGTTACTGCAATCCATCAGCTCCAGTAGTGCAGATGGATAAGTGCTAATTGTTGGCATTTTGACGCGATCGACCCGGGTTCGATCCCACCTTTTGCCAAACTTATTTTCCTCCCTTTTCAAATCTCGTATCACATCGTAAAGGCATTTATTTTAAATAAAAATTAAGGAAATAATCAAAAAGTTGAAAATAAAGTATCGGGTAGGGTTAGGCTAGGTGTAGGGAGGGCTTTATTGTACCAACAAGGTGGCATCCATTTAATAATTAAAATTATAATTTACACTTAATATGTTATTATTGCATACTGTTTTATAATGTACTACAATACTGAAGTGCAAATAATTGCCACTATTTGCAACAAGTAGTACACTTGATAGTAGAAATCCTGCTATTTTAACATAGTGTAACTAGGTATTTGCACTTAGTGTAAATAGCATATTGCTAAAAAATACTGCTATTTTCACTTAGTGTAAATAGAATCTATTGCTAATACGAGATTTGAAAAGGGAGAAAAAAAAGTTTGGCAAAAGATGGGATCGAACCTGTGTCGATCGCGTCAAAATGCCAAGGGCAAGCACATTTCCATCTGCACCACTGGAGCTGATGTTTTACAGCCACTTTTAACTAAAAATAAACGTTTTCAGAATTGTGATCTGCTTTGCACTTTACGGCCACCGTAATATAGAGATCTGGCATACTTTACCTACTGAATAAAGCACAAAGAAATGAGGTATTTTTTGTTCAGAAGTAAATTTAAATACTTGGACACAGTCCTACTTCAGTGTACATAATGCCTGGTTAAACTGGATTGTGGGAGGTTAGTCAATGAAACACTGATTTTGCAATGCAATATGTCAAAGTGAATTCCAGTCAAAGTCTTTAGAGATGACTTGGCACTTCTGCAAGCAAAGCAAGCAAAGAGCTCTCAAAGGGCTAGTCTCTAACGGCTAACATGAGGCCTTCAATTACACCTGTAAATAAGAGGTAAAAATGTCAAGGTGTATAACACATGATCGAGATGTTATCCCTTCCCAAAAGAAATGTTATCTCACATTAGAGGTCACAGAATCTGCTACGAACGAGTCTGCTCTAAAATATTACAGCAATTTTTCAGGTGTCAGGCATTAATTAAACCATGCTATACAATGCCCTGTAGTATTGCTTTCATAGCTGAGAATAACCGTATCTGATCCTGAACCAACAGCAAAAGTGAATCACTGCCATGTTTCATGTGAGAATCACTCTGGCTCTGGTCTCTGATCCTGTGGTGGTGTTTAGAGAGGCAGAGGGCCCTGTCAAACAGAATTAATGTTTTTGTTTAAGTTTTTCCCCCCTCTGCTGGCTCAGGTTGGATTCCTATGTCTAAGAAAGCCACAGTTTGATAAATCACTGCAATTCTTTTTCCTCACTGAGCAGAAAGGAGCTGCGTAATGGGGTGGTGCACCTTAGCAACAATATAGGAGCCAGTAAGTGAGGGTTGTACAGAACTGACATCCAGACCCCTGAAGAGCATTTTTTGTGCCCCACGTGATGTTGAGATTCTGCGGTACATAGAGAAAAAATCTGACACTTAGCAGAAAACTTAAATATATTTGTCATTTATTGAAAAATTAAATTAAGCAGGGTAGTCTGATTCACAGATGTCTCTATTAAATCAGCTCTTTTTAACAAATCAGAAAAACAGCATGACCAGTGTAGTCTGATTTTCAAAAAAATACTCTTCCAAATTGTTCCTTTTAAGTGAATCAAAACTGCGTCACCATTGTAGTCTGATTCAAAAATGACTTTTTAAAAATTGTTTCTTTATAACAAATCAAAAACATACTGTGTGACCAGTGTAATCTGATTCATGAAAAATTACTCTTTTGAATTAGTTCTTTTTAATAAATCAAAAACAGAGCACAATCACTGTAGTCTGATTCACAAATGTCTATAATAAATTGGTTCTTTTTAACAAATCAGAAAAACAGCACGACCAGTATAGTCTGATTCTCAAAAAATTACTTTTTTAAATGGTTTCATTTTAGTCAATCAAAACATACTGCATCACCAGTGAAGCCTGATCCACAAATTACTTTTTTTTAAATAGTTTATTTTTAATAAATCAAAAACAAAAACTGATTCACGACCAAATGATTCTTTCAATTGCTTCTTTTTAAATATTTGTAACAAATCAAAAACAAACAGGATAACCATTCTGATTCACAAACAAATTACTCTTTTTAAATATTTATTTTTGGTAAACTATAAACATGTGGTGCAACTAGTGCAGCAGTTTTATAATGTACCAACCAAATTAGAAGGTTCCTGTATAATTCACAGCATTAGCTGACAGAAATGTTCTTTGAAATGCATACAAAATGAACATCACAAGTGAACTATGCCTAAATGAACCACAACCAAATAAGCCCTGCTTTCTGGTCAGTGATGTTTCAAAAGTTGAGCTGTAGAC